GGGGGGAGGGTTGTTGCTGTTTTGTCTCGTCTATCTTTAACGCTGGATAACTACCAAAGAGAGTGAACATAAAATGCAAGCAATAGAAATGTGGTTTCTCGGGATACTTTAGAGAATTTCATGGCCAGACAAGATGTCAAACAAAAAAGGACCGAAAGAATCCCAGCTGAGCCACTCACTCATACGAAAAACTAGGCAGAAACACATGCAGCTTCTGGGACACATGACTCGACACAAAGGCTTTGAACATCTCGCTCAAACTGGAAAACAGAAGGAAAACGAGACAGGATAGACCCAGAGAAACTTAATTTGTAAAACCTGAACAGATAGGTTACATGGAGTCACCAGGACAATAGGATTGGATATTTTGAGCATCTGAACGAGACACGAATGGAATGTCTGTTTGAAATCTGACACTTTGTGATGAATTCAAGCGCTCCCCTTTCTCTGGTCTTTCCGATTTGTGTTTATAGCACCTTTTAGCTTTGTGACGTAGATGTGTGCACTTTGGTTACTATAGCTAGTAGATCTAGTGTAATCATTAGATCTAAACATTATCTTTTTGTATGTTCCTGATGAAGCCCGGGATCTGGCGAAACGTTGAACATATAAAACATTCTTGGAAATTCTACAAGTCTCAAACCTACCTTTTGTTTTATTCTCTGCTGTTTATGATGATGATGATGATGATGATGATGATGATGATGATGATGATGATGATGATGATGATGATGATGATGATGATGATGATGATGATGATCTTTAATCTATCGATTAGAATCTCGTCGCCATCTTGGTCTTCTGTAGGTTTCCTTCATCTTCTGCGTTGTAACACTTCGGTACTTTAGAATTTAAAAGTTACATCTGGCATTTTAGGCCCTTTTGAGTTAATAAGACCATGAGGTCAGAAACCAAATGTTCTGTCTGCTCTATCAAAAGTCGTGAGATTTTTCGTAGTCGTTATCAAGATATTCAAAGAATTGCATTTGAAAAAGCTTGACTTGTAAAACTCAATTTTTTACATCACATTTCTCAAAACTAGGTACTGAGCAGATAGAACTTTGTAATCCTAAGCCAGTGCTCGCTAATCTGGGCGGTTTGGCTCACTTGTGAACGTTTTGGTAATGTTAGCGGATGATTGGGATCACCCAGGTTGCTACAGGTGTTCTTTTATTTTTATGCCCCCCTTGGAAATATTTGCAGGTGCGCGGGACGCAATTGTTAGTCTCTTTGGCAAAGCTGGACCTTGCTATTAAAGTGTTGACGAGCACTAGTATAAGCAAATACCTTCAACCACTAAAGCGGTATCTTGATAAAATGGCGTGTCCTTTTATTTGACAAACAAATCTAAACGAGAGTATTT